GTGAGACAGGGAGCTGCATAGACAGCAGGTCACATATGATTTTAATACTTGGATAGATGAACACAGAGATTGATAGATAGGTGTAAAGATGGATGCGTGCACTCAGACTGATGCATTACTCTTTATAGTGTATACATCTCTCACACATCCCTGCACTCTGTAAGTACTGTCCACAAAGTCAATTCTACTATACCATGCATTAAATATTTCACTAAAATAAATAAATACATGTAACCATGACTCATAGGGACATCTTTCCTGAATGTTAGCCAGTATTTTATGCAAACCTCTTCTTTATGCAGCAAAATGAAAAGATACATTTACAATGGCTCTCAGAGAAAATATAGACCTTTTTCTGTCATTTGACACTTATACCAAATACCTCTTTCTCCTCTAAAAAAAGCACCCAATGCTAAAGAGAAATCAATTATTTTTTCACCTTTTTTTAATATTTTTTTTTATTTTGACATTCTACTGAGCAAAAAATGAAGAGTAGAGGATCAACCATTGTCCTGGGACATGATGAGTTAGAAGGTTTTTGCTGGATGAGTTTGCATTCTCTGCTCTGATTACTGTTTTGTTTTCCATTGATCCTCCTGTGTTAATAAAACCCAGTCTGGAGTGAACAAAAGCTTGCTTCTTGTTCAAGTAAGAAATGTGCCGAGTGCATACCATATCATTAACATAAAAGTTTTTGAAATAATACTTCTTTCTAGACAGACTGTATTAATTGCATCAAGCTTTTTACAGCAGGGTGGTCTAATGTAGCTCTTCTCATTGGCTGACTCCAGTTATAAAACCAACATAAAATGAATAAGGTGATATAATAGATGGAGGAAAAAATATTCTTTTAAAACCTATGGTTTAGTTACAGTGACTGCTTTTATCTTTACTGTCACCTTCACCTCTGCCAAGAAAACACCAGACTAGTTAAATGAAGCAGTAAGTAGAATTTCAGTAGCCAAGTAAATTGATATTAACTTTACAAGATGACTGTGATTTTCAGAATGTCCTAATGACTAACACAGCTGATTCCTTGAATTAGCAGGAGCTTGTTCCTCTCTTCCAAGATACGGCCGCATGCCTTCCTCTATTTTAGACCTTAAATTTCACAGCCNCTTAATCACTGCTGTCCATGCCCACTTGCTGTTTTTATACATGCAACTAAGTATCATAATTGCTTTCCACCTCCTTCCATCAGCCTACATGTGGGAAGGAAGCAGTTTCACTGGTTAGATTAATATATGTGTATTGGACAGATTTAATTATCTTTACAGGGGTATATAAAACCCTCACTTATAGGCCCAGGTCCAAAGAATTTGGATCAAGTACATATCTGAATGCAGGCACAGGGGATAAATTACTCTCTGTGCCATTACAATCCCCTTTGTCTTATGCTGATTAAGATACTCTTCCTAGGGCTTTTGCACCATAGTATCTTCAAGGCAGGGACTTTTTTCTTTAGAGAACACACTGTAAAGTGCTGTGCACTTCTGCGTTGAGATTTTCAATGCTCATTTCTCGTTAACTTTAATGGGAAATGGGCATCCAAATCTCTTAGGCAGCTTTGACAATTTAAGCCTTAATGTACAATATTAATAAATCAGCATCATAAAAAGAGCCTTATGAAGATGTATAGTGAAAAAATAGCCCCACAAAAAGCATTGCAGTGTATGTGTGCATGCACACAGGCATATACTTTTCCTTACATAATTATGTCTCTCAACAATCATTTGCATGTCTCTGTTATGCAAAAAAAAACTGCGTGTGTTTTACAGTTACTCTGAGCAGTTGCAATTCATTGGAATGAAATAAAAAGCAGGCTCAAAAAAAGCACCCTAATCTGGCAAGGGGTAAAGCAAAATGAATGCTTTGCCCATTTATATTTTAGATCCAAGCTACACAACCCTGTGAATTTCATTACTCTATTCCAACTTCTAATTAAATGGGCACTAAAAACATTTGAACGAGAGAACCCAATTCAACTGACAAAAGCTTCTGGGGCAAAATATATAAATAAATAAATAGACTGAGAGAGATTGTACCAGTGGTAGAGGGTTTTTTTAAATCACATGAAAAAACACAGACCTTTACTTGCAAATTCCTCGTCCTGGGGTGCCTTGAACACAAAGAATTGAACAAAGACTGAGAGGACCACGATCAGCACTGGCTGAACAGCGCAGTGGACATCCAAGCAGACTTCCCAGCACCATTTGCTGTCATTGAAACTATCAGCAGCATGTTTTCTAAAGATCACTAACAGCTCTGGATGAGGCAGCACGACTTCCTCTGTGCATGACTGAACACTACTCAGCATCCCAGACAATCACTTGTATCTAGGTAGACAATCATTCTTATCTAGGTTGGAGATTTTCAAAATCTGAAAATGCAGTTTTCACACATGTGTACCCCAAATCCCACCAGCAGCCCGACATTTGGATTCTCCAGCACAAACTTCTGTGAGGGACCCTTGAGGGCCTGTTTTGTGAGTGCCCAGCAACGATATTGGAGTATCTGCAACTTCAAGCCATCAGAGTCGCAGTCTGCCTGAGAATTGCATGGAAAATCTCCAGGTCCTGAATTAAATAAAGGCTGAAAAACAGGAAAGGTAAGAAATGATGAAGGATGAGGGGAGGCGGGAACTGCTGATGGCTTTTGTTCAAAGAAGTAACCAATTCCTCAGAAGCAAGAACAGGGCTGACAGAATAAAAGGCTAATCAAGTCAGAGAGACAAGCTGATCTCTAAAGCTGGAGCAAGTGACTGTTGTAAATGTCTATATTAAAAAAGAGGGCACAATGCAGGGATTGTCACTAGATTATTAATCAACACAAAGAACTCACTTTTCTATCATTTCCACAAAACATTTTGGGTGACAGAAAGATCCCATAACCCTTGCCGTGGGGTTTAAGCTATGCCTGGGCTCACATACAGTGAATACTATGGGAGCTAAGAAAGGGTTAAGTAGACATAATCTCCTTTTTCAAGGGAAGAAAATGTTTCTTTCAAGCAGACCTTGACCAACTACTGTCATAAACATGTAGCATGCACTTTGATAAAACCTATTCTCTAAGTGTTGCAGACTGCAGCAGTAATTACAGGAACCCATGATAACTGGTCTCCCTCTCGACAGAGCTGGCATCACTCTCCCAGCAAAAGGCAATTCCAAAAACTCACAGCACAGAACTCCAAAGTGAGAACTACAAGTACGCAAAGTACAAAAGCCTCACCTTCCCCACATTCTTTAATAAGTTATTCCTTGCTTCCTTTTCTATTTTTAGGTGCACTTGCTTCCATTCCCACTAGCTGCTGGCATCAGAAGCAAGAAGGAACCAGGGTATCCAGTTCAGTGTTACAACTACATGCCTCCTGGAGGCATGTACGTGCATACTGCCAGTGAAGACAGAGGACAGCAAAACGTGAGACAAGTTCCAGTTTGGTTTACTGGTTCCTGGGAGGAGAGAAGGCAGGAAAGGCTTCTGACCCTCTGATCCAACGCTCACCATTTGCAAGAGCCTGTCTCGACATCAATCTCAGGCCAGTTGGTCAAGTCTGCCAAGACTGATGAAGCAGAATTTGATTAAAACAGCATCCTCTGCCACACTGCATGCAGCAGCTTGGATAGGAAATTTAACCAGACCCTGGATTTACTGATGACACCTCACCACACAGCACATTGCTACAAGCCCAGTGCCTATGCACTAGTGAAAGGGGATGGGTGCAGGCTGAGCATCTTCCAAGCAGCACGGCAGCCTTCTCTGTGTGCCCTGAGCCTCACCCAGGATCTACACAGCACTCTGCAGAGCACTCTTAGCCTCCTCCTGAGAATATTTTATCTTCCAAGACCCAGGATATCCAAGATACAAATTTCAATTTCTTGCAAAACCTTATATCTCACTTTATTACATCAATGAGAGATGTTCAGGAACATTCCCATGAGATACAGCATACTGTAGCCAAGTGGCACCAGGGCTTCTGGAAGGAAAAAGCTAACATAACAAAGTTTTGCCAGCTTCAGGTGAGAAATGAGGAGCCATTTCCCAAAGGCTTTATTCCTGAAAGACATTGCTGCCTCTCTGAATCCTTTGCTTTACTTATCCAGCATCATCTAGGGAACTCCTTATTAAAACTACATGCACATTATCATGAATGAGAGCTGTGGGGTTTGGCCCACCACAGTGAGAGTCCATAAACATTTGTGGATTTTGCCACATCTGTATTTTCTTTTATACCCTCCCCATTTTCACCTCACCAACACACAGTTCAGCATAGACCAAGCCTTGCAACTGAGCCATGCTCAGAAACACCCACTGATTTCAAAGAGATCACTGGGTCTGAAATGATGGGGTCTGGTGACAATATGTCCGCGTTCTCTTTGGCTAGCTTGGTGTGCCTTCATTTTCACATCACTTTCCCCTCCTTGTGGTGATAAAAGTCAGGCATCCAAAAGGAATAAAGGAAAAGAAAATCTGATGGGGTAAGAGGCCAGGGATGCATGGTGAGTTACCAAGGAGCATTTTCTCAAAGCAAGGGAGAAAACAGCATGGAGCACATACATCCTGCGTGCACATGGATGCGGAGGAGAGCCTTTAATATGAATGATTGAGGAGGAAGGGCAAAAAAGAAGGAAATAAAAATACCTCAGATGTTAAATGTTATCCAATTAAGCTTAAAATAAACAGCCTAGAGAGATGAAATCTTGATACTGGGGTATCACATTCTGCAAGGAGTCTCAGACATTTGTTCACAACATGGCACAAACGGCCCGGCAGTGGCCGCAGGTGACAACTGAGGGTGGGCAGGCAGGAGGGGAGGGATGAGGAAATGGAGGGAGTCGCATGCCCTTTCCCACTCCCCATCCTCGTCCAGGGTGGAGAGGGAAGGCATTTTCTCTGCCTTCCCCATGCGACCCAGCAAAGGCAGCTCTCTCACAGCAAAGACGACATCACTTGGCAGCACTACTGACCTTCAGATAGCGACAAAAAAAAAATATTTCTATTACCTGACAACTGACAATGACATCCAAATGTGCCTGACGTCTCAGTCTGAATCTCAGTCTGAGTCCCGCCAACTGAGACTGCACGTGCACCACAGCAGGGCAGGCTAAGGCAGGGCGGGAGGGAGGCCAGTGCGCGGAGAGGTGACGTGATCACGGATGTGTGAGGGTGGGAGGAGGCAGCTATGGGAGCCCCCGGCAGGTTTGCAGGCCTGGACGGCCCTGGAGAAAAAACAATAGAAAAAACTGTCAGTCGGATCTAAGTTTGAAGGGACAGAGGAGGCATCAAACAAGCGAAGTGGGGGCTGGCTGCCTAACGCACAACACGCTTGGTCTGAACCCCTCTCTGGGCCCGGCTGAGGCTGGCGGGCTCACGCTGGGTGGGGGAAGAATAAGAAGAGACCTGGAGGACCTGCAAACCCAGGCTGAGGGCCTGTGTGGGCATGGAGCGGGGTGAAGGTGGGGGATGGCCAGCCCTGGCACGGAGCAGAGCCGGCGGCGGCGGCGGGCTTCGCCACCAGCGCTTGCTCAGGGACCAAATCAAAAGGGGGATAATTGTTTTATGGCTGTGTTAATGCACTGAGCTGACACAAAACTGTGCAGGCTTTCTGCCGAGCCACTGCTGAAGCGGGCTCCACACACCAGCCCGGACAAAGTGCGCTGACTTAGAGCTCAAATGGCTTCAGTGAGGTGCCAGGAGCCGAGCTCCCAGAAGGAAGCCTTGGCGGCCATGTGCTGCCTTCCCGCTTGAGCTGCGGCCAGTTGTGCATTTTGCATGCCCCGATTATGCAGGATGATTCCCTACTGAGCCTGCAAGGAAGGGAAACAACCTTTTTCCTGGTAGCTAAAAGATGATATTGTAACCTCCAACCTTATTATTTATTTTTAACCCTTCTAGGAACCCCTCACCTGCCATTTAAAAGCTGTATTTAAGAGTTTTCTCCTGTTCCACTGGAAATGTTTTCTCCTCCTGGCACTAGTCCAAACTGAATTCTGTGGCTTTGAAAAACTAAGATACAAGTCTTAAATATCGACATACACCTGCACAAATACAGACACACACACACACAGAATCATGTAGAAGTCAAGTTTTTGGCTGGCACAAATTAGCAGAGTTCAAAGGGAAGCTGAGTGAACGGCACCATTTTCCATCTCTTGGGAATCCCAACCGCTCCATTTCAAACTATTCCTGCCACTTAGTGATTAACTAAAGGGTAGCTACTAATCAAGGCCGGTTTCTAAATGAAGATATGTGGCGGAGTAGTCGCCATTAAAAAGTTGGCATTTGCCAACAGTTACCACACAGTGGTAGATCAGAAACCACAGTTTCCCCCTGTATTTAGGTCAGGAAATATGTGTGCTAATTGTGGGGTACCTTCTGGCAAATGCTTTCTTTCTAAATGGCAGCATCTCTGGCTGTTCATGAGTGTGCACCTTGCAGATAGATGCAAACACCATGGCAGCAAGTAGAAATATTTATCTGGGCTCCCTCCAACCTTAGAAAGGGACCTTTCCTTTCCTAAAGGAACCTACATTGTGGCAGCAGGGAATAATATTTATCCATGCTCCTTCTGACCCTAAACATGCAACATCTTCCAAGGGAGTCTCTCCACCTTGAGAGTCCCTATTCAGAAACTAGGCCTGCATGTTGATCTGACAGTTACACATGTGAGGCAAATGGGGATACTTCATCCTTGGCACAACATCCAGCGCTCCAGTCTGCAAGGACTGCATTTGATTTTGGCGTTTATCTTAAACGGCTAAGAGACCACCAGTGCAAAACATTTGTGTGAAGCTTTTGCCAAAACCACAAGTGAAGAGTCTAAATTCCCTGTGTAAATACTTGAGCTTCAAGGATCGAGGATAAAATTTGTGCTGTTTTGTGAGGACTGGTTTTAAATAGAAGCCATCTCTGTGGCTTGTGGGACAAGGAAGGACTTTTCTTTTATTTTTTGAGCTCTGTTTGACTTTTGTAACTCTTTGATCTCTCTGGAAGTACTATACAAGCAGGTATGATAACTGCTACCCAGATCATAACTACATTGCATATCTGGCAAGACGGTGTGCTGTGCATGTGGAAACTGATGTTGGACATAGATTCTATGTGTGTAGGCACCACTCTATTGCCACGGTAACAGATATGAATAATGTTTGCTTTCTTCATGGAATAAGGAAAGAATAATACAGATTCCCTTCAATGACTTAACAATTGTATCTTATATTCCTAATGTAATAAAAATTGCTAGGTGGTGTTGAGCTGCCTGGGTGCTTGTCCTTGCTTGGAAATTCATGAGCAAATTCGTGAAGTTCTTGAAATGGGGATTTAGAGTAGAACCACAGGGCAACTACATCTCAAGTTACATGGAGATGTGTCTGTGGTCTCACCATGACTAAGGGCACGGGTCTTGGAGTCACTTGGCCCTCTATATATCATGATGCCTTATTATGGGTTTTGAAGGAGATAATCCCACAGAGAAACTATATGAAGCCCACCAAATGCATCATGTGACTCCACAGCATGAGGTTTTAATGTGAAGGTCCGTGGGTCCTGACACACAACACTGCCCTGACAGTAACAGCCTCCTCTCTAACCCTGGTGTGTCCCACATGATCATTGACAATGAATTTAATGCATTTTGCACGGCCTTGAGGTGTGCAAGAAGATGCAAATAGTTCTTATCCAGGAAGGCCCTCCCAGATCTTACTCAGCACATCTCTAGTGTGGAAAGGGAATAAAGGTCTCAAACAGGAGACTTCATACCATCTGGTCAAAGGGGTGCTGTAAGAGCCTCCCAACAGTGCTACCAGGGGCAAAACAGCAATCTGTTTTAACAAGGTACATAGCAATTTTACCAGAACTGCATGAACCAAATGCCAGTGAATAGATGGAACTGAAACTGTCATTCAGAAGGTCTTTTTTTTTTTTTGTCCTCAATCTGGAGAAGAGAGCCTCTGGGGAAACCTTATAGCAGCCTTCCACTACCTGAAGAGGGCTGACAAGAGAGCTGGTAAAGGACTTTTTACAGGATATGTGATGATAGGACAAGGGACAATGGAATTAAACTGACAGAGATTAGGCTTTAGAAATAAATTCTTTGCTGTGACAGTGGTGAGAGACTGGAACAAGTTGCCCAGAGAGCTGTGCTCAAGACCAGGTTGGATGGGTCTTTGAGGTGTCCCTGACCATGGCAGGGGCATCTGTTCCAACTCAACCCATCCCATTATACTATGATTTGATGTAAATTTGAGGAAATCTAAACATTGCTAACCTAGTATCACAAAAGAAAGGATTTGTAAGGGAGAAGAAGAGTGGCCCAAGAGAGACTCTGGCAGATGATCAGGGATTACCATCAACACTCCCAAGTCCAGCACTAAGAGACAAATATTGTGCAGTTGCTAGACCAGGAGACTTAAGTCTGCCCCTACAAGCAAAGTCAAATCAGGTGATTCCTCCTCCCCTTTACTACCACTTCAAGGTTTACTTCTTTGTTACTAATCAGTACAGTCCTACGGAATCAGATCAAGTGGAAAATCATATGGATGGAAATCATATCCAGTGGCCTCAAGAAAAGTCAGGGAGAAAAGGAGAGGTCCACCATTAGGTACATGATGCCTCTTCATAGCTATAGAAAAAATAACACTTGTGTTCAAAAATAATCAGCTCGTATTTGCTAGGAACATATTCCCATTTCATCTCTTCAGCTCCTCTCTGTGGGATCCTATGTGTGATTTTTATCCTTTAAATGGTCTATTTAAAGCTGAAAATGAAGATGGGGGCTCTTCAACTTAACTGTTACAGGTGACAGACAAACACAAAATGAAGAAAGATAAAAAGAGAGATAGAGAGACAGATGGATTAGATAGACAGATAGACAGATAGATAGATAGATAGATAGATAGATAGATAGATAGATAGATAGATAGAATCTTAAGGTGGTGCTGAGAGTTTTTTGCTCAGCCCACACAGCAACAGGCAGGTGAGTGGAGCTGATATCTGGAATTCTACATCTAATCGACTACATCACATTGCATAGAGGTTTCAAAGAGAAAACACACCTGCAAGCCCCTGACTGCCACAAAGGGCATAGCCACAATCAACACTAAAGGGAAAGCAAACTGCAGGAACTGCATTGCAATCTTAGAGGCAAATATCCCATCTGGATGGGGAGAGCAGGCTCACACATGCAGCATTGTGTAGCTCGGACATCCCTGACACAATGTGTGAGGCTTGATTTTCCTCTTGGGTCAGCACTGGGAAATTACTCACCTGCACTGCAGATCTCAATTATATATTCTGCATTCATTCTGCACGGATGCAAAGGAGAGTTTTGCACATAGCATGAGTGTGAAACATGCACAGGGACTGTCACCATGTAAATAAAACATCTGCATTGCTGACGGTAAAGGAAGATTTTGTTCATGTGCATTAAACAGGCTCAGCATATCCACAGAACCTGTACATGACAGTAGCTCACAGGTGATGTTGACTCCAATGCACCACTAAGAGTAATTCTTTCTTCTCTGCTATTTTTAAACTTGCAAAGAAGAAAATAAGGTAAATTGGACATGACCCCAGATGGAAAATGGAATAGCCTAGGTGAACCTGACAAAAGCCACAATCAAGGCATAAATTGCATCCTTTTGTTGCCCTCTCCCAGAGCTTAGGCATGACTGGCCATATGATATGGTGTATGTAAAACACCATGCTCCTCTGGCACATCTGCAGAAAAGTCCCTGAGCAAAATACAAAGAAGGAGCCAAAGCAGCATTCAAAATGTCCCACCTCATTATGGCTTAGACCAGGGGGGCTGTGTGCTTGGCTGGGTGGGTGCCTGGGCGTGTATCTGTGTACAGGCAGACAGGCAGGTGCACAGGCAGACATGTGAGCTGCTGAAGAGGGCACGAACCAAGTTTTTCTACGTGTCTCTCTGTGCCTGTCTGGTGACAGAAAATCCAATCAATAGCTGGTTAGAGAATAAAGCTCAGCTCCAATATTAAAAAATTCTCTTTCAATAAAAAGAAAAACATCTGTTCAAACAGCGTACGGCTACAAATTTGAAGTGCAGGCTGAAGCATCATCTCTGCCCTGTGCCCATCATGTTCAGGGAAAATACTGCAGATGTTTTCAGGGGGGTTTTACATGAACCATTGCAGTAGGTTTCCAAAAATGATAGACAAATCTATCCAGTAATCTCTCCAACAGATTTTTTTCCAAGCTTTTT